CAGGTCGAGGCTGCGGTGGCCGGGAGTGGCCACTGCACTCCAGTCTGGGTGACAGAGTGAGACTCCAACTCAAAAAAACCAAAAAAAGCGTGCAGACCCTGACTCTTTGTGTGGAGGCAGAATTGTGCAGGGTCGAGGCTCAGTGCCGTGAGCTGGCCTTGTGGGGCAAAGATCTGAGGACGAGGAGGCATTCACCCGCAGGAAGTGGGAGCTGGCAGCAGGGCCCGCAGTCCCCAGCTCACTCCGGCGTGGAGAAGGCTCAGACGCGGGAGAGAGAAAAGGGGCCGAGAGAAAAGGGGACGTGTGCCGCTGGGGCGAGCAGGGCGGGGGTGTGCAGGCCTGTCCACACGCTTGGCCTGTGTCGAGGCACAAGTCACTGAAGGCCGGGCGTGCCTGAGAGTGACGGTACGGTCAGAGGGTGTGTCCGCCAGGTGGGACGGAGCCTGTCACAGAAGAGCAGAGTGCCTGGCTGGCGGTTTGGCAGGCATGTTTCCGCGTCAGCGGAGTCTGTGGCAGTTTCTGAGGCCCTGAAGCTGTTCCTTTGCTGCTGCCTGTCTGCCCTCCACTCCAGCGTTGTCTGCCGTGTGTTTGCAGGGTGGGACGGTCCCAGCACTGATGCCCTCTGCCCTGCTTGCGTCCTCGGCTTTGGGGTCGCAGGACTTCCCTGCTCTGCCACCTGCCGGGCACTGTTTTCTGTTGAGTTATGCTTTCCTGTCAGATGTTGCATGTGAGTCCAAGCCCTGGGCCTTTGGAGTTGCTATCGGTCTTCTTCTTTTTGAGTCAGAGTCTCACTCTGTCGCTCAGGCTGGAGTGCAGTGGTGTGACTGTGGCTACTGCTGCCTCGACCTGCTGTGCTCAGGCGGTCCTTCCGCCCCAGCCTTCCAGCAGCTGGAACTACAGGCTTGCGCCCCCATACCCAGCTGATTTTTCTCGATTTCTTGTAGATATGAGGTCTTGCAAGTTGCCCAGGCGGGTCTCGAACCCGCGGGCTCAGGCAATCCTCTTGCCTCCCAAGGTGCTGGGATGACAGGCGTGAGCCACTGCGCCTGGCCTTTTTTGTTGTTGTTTGAGTCAGGATCTCACTCTATCGCCCAGGTTAAAGTACAGTCTCACCGCACGCAGCCTTGACCTCAGCCTCCAAAGTAGTTGGGACTGTAGGCACGGCAACATGCCTGGCTGGTTTTTCATTTTTGTGGAGATGAAGTCTTCCTGTGTTACCCTGGCTGATCTTGAACTTCTGGGCTCAAGCGGTCCTCCTGCTTTGGCCTTCCAAAGCGCTAGGATTACAGGCATGAGCCGCTGCGCCAGCCATACTCTCAAGCCAGTAGATCTACTCTGGATTAAGCGCATATCGTGACACAATTGGCGGCTCAGATTTTGGGTCCTGTTTGGGGTGTGACCAGCACTTTTTCCTTCAGATTCCCCTGGAGAACACCAAAGCCTGCCAGGAGGAGGAGGAGGACCCCACCTTCTGCGAGGTGTGCGGCCGGAGCGACAGGGAGGACAGGCTCTTGCTGTGCGACGGCTGTGATGCGGGGTAAGGGCGGCTGGGGCCGTCGCTGTGTCCCGCTGTGCGCTGTGCCGGCCAGGCACCGGAGCGGTTGGGGCCCCCTCCATCTGCCTCTGGTGAGGGAGGCGGCCCAGGGCTGTACCTGGAGAGAGGCGGGGCCCAGGCCCGCCCTCGCCGTGGGGCTCGTGCCCGCCCAGCCTTGCTGCCTTGGTCCCACCTGGCGGCCGTGCTTCCCGTTGCCCTGCAGCCACCGTGACCCTGGGCACGGCGGGGACAGCTGGGAATGCCAGCTCTGTGCTCGCACGTGGCACTGGCTTCCTGGAGCCCTGGGTTGCTGTGTTTCCTGGGCTTGCACACATCTCCCCTCCCCATGAGCCTCCCGCGAGGGGCGTTCACTTTTGACTTGAAGAGTTTTTCTGCTGTAAAATGTTGGCAGGGGATCATGGAAACCTTTCCCTTGGGGCGTGTACCCCAAAAGGTATCGAAGGGACCGGTGAGGCTGGTGGGTCTTGCGGACAGAAAGTGGCAGCTCAAAGGTTTGGACTAGGAAGCAGCTGCAAGCAGAAGGCTTCAACCTGCCCCGGCCAGAGCCACGTGGAGAAGGAGCTGCCCGTGAAGGCGGGGCTTGCTCTGCCACTCGTGGTCTGGATTGCCCAGACTTTGGAGCCCCCGCTTTGACTGGGCCGCGGCCATGGCCGCTCAGGCCCCTGTGTCATGGACTTATTCTGCACGTGCCCGGGCCCTGCTCTGCGGCCACCTGCCCGCCGTGGGTGCAGACATCACTGGCTGTGCTGTTGCCCTTAGTGAGTGCCACATGAGCCTCGTCTGTGGTCCTGCAGGTGGCTGCCTGCTTTTCTTCCTAAGACACCATCGGCATAGCTCACCCTCCTGTGCCCTGTGAGGGTGCTGGGACCTCGCAGTGTGCCCGTCTGCCTCTGCGGGGGCCCCAGTCCTGCCTGCTCCTGCCCTCTATTTCCAGAGTCCAGGAGACGGATGTGCGTCCGCTCCGTGTTCACAGACCAGCTCGTCTTCCCTCCTTTCTCTTGAATCTCAGCTTGAATCCCTCTTTGGTGACGTTTTACTGAATGCCCCCACCTTATTGATCTTCACTTGCCCAGGATTCCTGGAAGCATCTACTGCCCATCCCCCTTTGGCGTGTGCTGGCTTCGTTGCTGTGAGTCTGGCCGTAGAGCCACTGCCCTGGGTGGCCCAGAAACCCCATCGGTGTGGCGCAGTGGGTGTGCTGAGCTTAGTTACTCTTGGTTACTGACTGACACTGTGAGTATAGGCAGAACGCTAAAAAGAATAGGAGTCTATGGAACGCAGGGCCAAGGGGTGGCTTAGTGCTCAGCACTCTGTGCCCACAGGGAAGGCTGCTCCCTTTTTCCCATAGTTGCAGCCACTGTGGACATGAGGAGAGGCCTGGACAGCCTGGAATAGCCGGGTGCAGCCTGCACAGCCCGTGAGCCCCTCTGTTGTGTAGAACTATGAGCCTTCTGGTGGCCTTGAGGGCAGCCGGTGAACTCAGAGGAGGCTGTTGGAGTTCTGTGCATAAAGCTTTTAAAATGAGCCTGCAGTTCTTAATTCTGTCAGTTGTTTAAATCAGTATAATTTACTTTTTTTTTTTTTTTTTTTTTTTGAGTTGGAGTCTCACTCTGTCGCCCAGACTGGAGTGCAGCGGCCGCTCCCAGCCACCGCAGCCTCAACCTGCTGGGCTCTGGCGATCCTTCTGCCTCAGCCTTCTGAGTAGCTGGAACTACAGGCGCGTACTACCACGCCCCGCTAATTTTTTTTGATTTATTGTTGAGATGAGGTCTCGCCAAGTTGCCCAGGTGGAATCTACTCACCTCAGCGCGGGATTACAGGCTGAGCCACCGAGCCCGGCTTAATTTACTTATTAATTGAGCCAGAGTCTCAACTCCTGCTGGGCTCAGGCGATCCTTCTGCCTCAACCTTCCAAGTAGCTGGAACTACAGGTGCATGCCACCACGCCCAGTTACTTTTTTGATTTATTGTAGAGACAAGGTCTCACCAAGTTGCCCAGGCTGTAAATCAGTATAAGTTTAATGTATTAACTTTCTTTCTATGTACAGTACTTGAATTATTTAGCAGATAAAACAACTCAAGTACTTTAAAATCCTGATGGATCTAAAACATTAAAACTGATAAAAAATATGGCAATTCCTCTGCTCCTAAATGTTCCCTTACTATTAATATTTGTAGTCTTCTAAATGTCTTTACAGTAGTCTTTTAACTTAAGAGGTACAAATGTAAAATTATTCCATTATTAATTTGCAAATGTAATCACAAGGCTGTCTGTCGATACACTGATACTATATGAAATAAGTTACAGATACTTTCTAATTCTTTTTTGAGTCAGTCTCACTCTGTGGCCCAGGCTAGAGTACAGTGGTACAGATTGTGGCTCACCGTAGCCTCAACTTCTTGGGTGCAGGCAATTCTTGTGCCTCAGCCTCCCAAGTAGCAGGACTACAGTTGCATGCCGCCACGCCTAGGGAGTTTAAATTTTTTTTGTGTGTGGAGTTGAGGTTTCACTAGGTTGACCAGGCTGGTCTCAAACTCCTGGGCTCAAGGAGTCTTCCCACCTCAGCCTCCCAGAGTGTTGGGATTATAGGTGTCAGCCACCTCACCCGGCTGTTTCTAATTTTTTAAAAAGTAGCACAATTTGAAGACGTGTTCACTAGGGAAGCAGTTCAGGGACTCGCCTTGCCCTGCAAGTTGTGGCCCTCCCCTCCCTAGATGGGGGGATAGTTCTCAGCACCTTCGTCCACCAGGGTGGGCCCATTCTCCAGAGAGCTGTCGAGCTCCTGTGGGTTGAGCTCTGGGTCCCGGTGCCGAGGCTGGCATGTCCTGTGGCCCCCTCTTCCATGAGTTGGTGAGAGTCTCCTCTTCTCTGGAGTGAGTGCAGAGGACGTGGGCCGAGGGCTGGTGCCAGCCAGCGGCAGGGGCCTCCGCGTGTGGAGCTCAGTGGCGGGATGTTGGGTGAGCCCCTTCGGACCCTTGAGGTCCTTCTGAAGAAGTGGCTGCTCAGTGCTGGTCTTGTTTTTCCCTGGAGAGCTCGTGAGGGAAGCCGCTAGGCTGGAGTCTGCCGAGGGTTCTTGGCAGCCCCTCCCTCCTCGGCCTTCCTGCGGGTGTGTGGTGCTCCCGGAGGTGTTTGCCGCCTCCTGCCTTTCCTGTGTGAGGTCCCGGTGGGAACCACGCAGCTGACAAGTTCTCGTGGAAGGGGGCTTCACAGAAGAAGGCGGCTTCCCTTGTCGAGCCCTGTGTCTTGGATCCTAGGACAGTTCAGCACTGAATAGTAAGTGGCAGTTGGGTTGGCCTGGATTCAGACTTGATTTCCAGGAAGATGTTAGCTAGGCAGCCTTCCTCGTTTACTGTTGTGCAGCTCAGGGCCGTCTGGGGTCTTGCGGGGGAAGTTCAAGAATTCTGACACCGACTTACGAGCCCGGCTTTCGTGGAAGGGCACAGATAATTCCTGCTAGGGGCAGCACTTCCCAGGCTATTTTCCTGGAAAGGTTGATAGAAACAATTACAGAATAAGACCGTAGTTGGGCAAGATTTCAGCTTACTTTCAGCAGAATGTCTTTGCTTTTTTTGCTAGCTTGTGTGGTTCGGGTGGGGGTGGGTGAGCTGGCGGCTCTGTCCGCCTCTCGGAAGGTGGATGGCACAGGGGCGCCTGCCGCAGTCAACCTTGTGAGCCCGGAGCAGGAGCCAACGACTTGCTTGCTGGGGTTTGGCCACCAGGTGGCCTGGGGGTGCTGACTGAGCCCCTGGGTGGGATGTCGTGGTCGGCTTGGCCATTGGAGCAGAATACTGCAGGCCGCATGGCTGAAGCAACTGGTCTTCGCTTTCTTGGCTTCAGAGACCGAAGGCCCAAGGTGCCACACACAGGGTTGGCTCTTGATAGGGCCTCTTCCTACCTCCCAGGCAGGGCCTCCTCACTGGTATCCTGTGAGCACCGCTTCTGGTGTCTCTTCCACTTCTTCTGAGGACACTGATCCTATGGGATCAGGGCTCGCCCTTGTGGCCTCATTCAACCTTGGTTACCACCTCGAAGACCCTGTCTCTGGGCCCATCATCTTGGAGATTGGGGCTTCAGCCTCGGAACATGCCCCAGTCCGCAGCAGGGCACTTGGAGACTTGTGCACATGTGGGCGTCTGCTTTGCAGCTTGCTGACTTGGAAGGTCTGAGTACTGCAACCGCAACACGCGTGCCCACCCGGCACTGCCCCTCTTGCCCCTGTAGGTACCACATGGAGTGTTTGGACCCCCCGCTCCAGGAGGTACCAGTGGATGAGTGGTTCTGTCAGGAGTGTGCTGCCCCTGGCGTTGTCCCCGCCACTGGTAATGCCCCGCCCCATCCTGAGGAATGCCTGGGGCCTTGTTGTCATTGGGTCTGCAGTCCCCGAGAAGGGCCGTGGGGTCGGGCTGACTGTGGTGGGGGAGGATTTCTAGGACTTCCTGGGAGAACAGCTTCTGGGGCTCCCAAGTGGCAGCTGGGGAGCACGTCTCCTCGGGGCTGTGTGCGGGTTTGGCTCACTAGGGTCTTCTGGTCCCCAAGGCCTGGGGGACCAGCCTCTGGGGAGCAGCTCTAAGTCCTACTAGGCAGACCCGCAAGCCAGGGCTCCTGAGTGGCTGGTGGGCGGCCTGCAGGGGAGGTGTGTGTGGCCTGTGCGTGTCATCAGCCCAGTTGTTCTTCCCAGACACGGGTGACGTGAGTGAGGAGGAGGTCTCCCTGCTCTCGGCTGATGTGGTGCCCACCACCAGCAGGCTTCGGCCGCGCACAGGTCGGACCCGGGCGATTGCCAGGACCCGGCAGAGTGAGAGAGTGAGGGCAACCGTGAACCGGAACCGCATCTCCACGGCCAGGAGGGTTCAGGTGGGTGGGCCAGCCCTGAGGCCTTCCTGGGGCCCCGGCTGCCCGGGTGGGTCTCGGCAGTAGGGGGGCCGGGCCACCCGCGTGCAGGGCCCTTGCGGCTCATGGCAGTCCGCCTGCCGAGGAGACTGGCGAGCACGCTGCAGGGGCTGTGCCCCCTGGGTGCTAGGTGGAGGCCTTGAGCTGTTCCCAGCTGTGAGGCAGGTGGGTGGGTCTTGGGAGACTTGCCTCGCTCCCCAGGCCCTGCACAGCACCCTTCTCCCCCAGCACCCGCAACACCTTGCATGTTGCTGGGCGCAGCTGCAGGTGTTGCTCCATGTGGCCTTCTACCCGGCAGTGGATGTGCAGCTGGAGGGAGGATGGGAGGCTGTGGGCGTTCTCTTCTTTGAAGTCTGGCGCGTGCCCTTGTCCAGCGCAACACTGGGTTTGGAACAGATCAGAAAGGCAGGGGAGCCTGTGTCCTGGCCACACGCCACCTTGCCACAGACCCGCCAGCCCTCCTCAGGCCCCTCACGCTCCCCTGCTCCCCACGTCCTAGTACCCCAGGGATGCTGTTTGTCACTCACCCCTCAAACCAGCTCTGTCTCCCCACCTCCCTACGCCCGCCCCAGTCCCTGCCCCGCACGTCTGCACGGGTTCTTCCTCTACACGCCTGCACAGGCACCCTGCTCTCGTGCTTGCTGTGTGGCCTGCCCTGAGCTCCAGCTCGGCCCTCACGGTTCCCTCTTTCCTCCCGCTGAGGCTTGCCTTCTGTTCCACCTGGCCTCGTTCGAAAGTCCCCGGATTCTGCTGTGTCCTGGCCCCTGATCCTGTGGGAGCACCCGGGGTGGCTGTTGAGAGGGAGTGGGAGGTGCCAGGGGCTGGGTTTGGAACTTGCTGGGCTGCTTCTCTGGTGACCCTGTGGGCTGTGCCTGGGGCTCCGTGAGGGGCCTGCGCCGGGCCAGCCCACACTGGGGCCCTGCTCAGGTCCCCTGACAGCACTCCCCCTGTGCCATGCAGCATGTGCCGAGGCACCTCATGTCTTCCCTGCTGGATGAGACCATTGAAGCTGTTGCGACTGGTCTGAGCACCGCTGTGTATCATCGCCCTCTGACGCCACGCGCCCCTGCCAAACGCAGAAGGAAAGCAGGTAAGCCTGACACCCGAGCCTCACCATGCTGGACCGGGGCCCATGGCACTCTGACCTCTGCCCTCGTGGCCAGGACACAGGTATTTCCATCTCCCCTTTCTGCAACTTAGTTTTCTCAGTCAAAAATACCATACAGAAGCCCCTCCAGGCCCCGGAGGTCTGGGTCTGATTTGTTGGCCTATGTGACCGTCCCTCATCTGGCATTGTACCAGGACAAGGCAGGCCTTCCAGAATTACTCCACCCTCTGCTTTCCGGAAGTTTGTGGAAGAACTGCTATTATATTTTTCTTTTTTTTTCTTTTTTTCACTCTGTCGTCCAGACTGGAGTACAGTGGCGCGCTCACGGCCACCCCAGCGTCAACCTGCTGGGCTCTGGCGATCCTTCCACCTCAGCCTTCCAATAGCCGGAACTACAGGTGCATGCTGCCATGCCTGGCTAATTTTTTTGTTTGTTGTAGAGACAGGGACTTGCCAAGTTGCCCGGGCTGTTCTCGAACCCGCGGGCTCAGGCAGTCCACTTGCCTTGGCCTCCCAAAGTGCTGGGATGACAGGCTGAGCCACCAAGCCCAACCTGCTGTTATTTTTTTCTATGAAAGTTTGACAGAATACACCCATGAAGCCATCTGGGCCTGGGCTTTTCTGCGTAGAAAGAGTTGAGAGCATTAATTTAGTGTCTTTCCTTGCCTCAGTTGTATTCAAATTTTCTATCCTTTTCTGTGTTAGTTTTGGTCATTTTGTCTCCGCGTTGGTTAGCTTTGATCAGTTGGTTCATAGTGGCCCACTCTGAAGTTGCTAATGTTTCCTCGTAATTGTCAGCTAACTCCTGGGGAGAAACTTTGAGACTGTGAATAGCTTGTTTTCATCAGACTTTTACTCTGATGTCCCTTCTGTATCCATTCCTCCCTAAGGAAGAAGATTCCCTGTCTCCCACAATTATTTACTTACATCAGTGTTGACACAGGGATTCCTATTTTACTAAGGGGTTTGTAGTGTAGTCTTTTAAAAATAAACTTTATAGACATATACGTACAATAAAATGAACACACCTACTTTCAGCGTATAGTTCCAGCTTTGACCAGACTAGCTTCCACTCCAGCCAGCATATAGAACATTTAGCAGATAATATCCTCTGCCCCCACCAGGCCAGCCCCACAGCTGTTTGTATACTGTGTCGGTTTTGTGGGTCCTGGTAGCCCATGTCACTCCTCATACTGTGACAACTGTGAGGCCAGTGCGCGTGCTGTGGCCTTCTGTGCCTTGCGCTCAGCTGACATTCCTGGAATCTCTGCAGTTGTGTGGATTTGTGGGTTTGGTGGGGGGGGTCCCACCATGTGAACATGCCACTGTGGATGGGCATTTCGGGTTAAGAATGAAGGTGCTGTGAACATTGTAGCACAGTCCCTTGTGGGCAGATTTTCCCATTTCTTTGGGTAATAGTAGAGCCATTGGACCATCAGGTAAGGGCCTGTCTGCCTTTATGAGAACTTTCTAAGCCTTTCTCCAGGGTGACTTGGAGACTCCCATTAGCAATGATAGGAGCTCCAGTTCGTCCACATTGTCACTACCACTCTGAATTGTTGGGTTTTTAATTTTTACACCAGTGGGCATTGGAGGTCCTCGTGGTGGCTGAGACACCTTTAAATGTTTCTGCTGGGCCCTGTTTCCTGAAGGTCGTGCTGAGATCCGGATGTTGCTGGGAGGGCTTTGTTGCTCATCGGTGTGATGACAGCTTCCAAGTGTCTTCACGTGCCTCATGGGCTGCTTCAGTGGCTCAGGCACTTCTCTGGGAAGCACTCCTTCCTGTTAGTGAGAACTGGAGCTGTTAGTGAGAACTGGAGCTTGGAGCCCAAGCCTGGGCCCTGGGCGTGTGCCGTGCTCGTGGCCAGCCATTGTGCCTGGGCCTTGCCCATAAACATCCTAAAGTTGTACTGATACTTGCAAACCAAGTTCAGGGTTATGGATTTTGATTTCTCCCATTGTGCATCTGTGTCTCCTCTTCCATAAGAAATCCTGCCTCTCAACACAGAAAAGTAAGCTGTTCCTGAGCTACTCCATTTTTCCTTTTGTCCCTGATGTGTATAGTCCCAGTACTTGTAAGATAACCTAGAATGCTTCTTCTATTAATAAGATAGATATACATCATTTTTTCTTCTGCTTGGGGCATTTTGGGGTTTTTTACTTTCTTGCTCGTGATTTTTTTTTTTGCCCTTTTTGTACACATATGCCAAGCCTGTGTAAATGTGGGGAGGAGAAAACAGCCCCCCCCAGCCCTGCCATTGCCAACATCAGCACTTCTCGGTTGGTTCTGCTTCATGTCTAACCCACGCACTTCTCACTCTGTTTTTAGGCACATCCTTCACATCATCATCATTTTAACTACAAATATTTTGGAATGTATTTCTAAAAGAGTCATTTCTAGACATAAATACAGTTTATGGTCATACCTGAGTAAACAAACAGCAGTTCCTTAACACATGAAATAGCCAAGCATTGTTAAAAGTTCTAATTGTGTCATAAATGTGATACGGTTTTTATTATTTTTTTATTTTTTATTTTTTATTTTTTATTTTTTTGAGTTGGAGTCTCACTCTGTCGCCCAGACTGGAGTGCAGTGGCCGCTCCCGGCCACCGCAGCCTCCACCTGCTGAGTTCCGGCGATCCTTCCGCCTCAGCCTTCCAAGTAGCCGGAATTACAGGCATGCGCTACCACGCCCGGCTGATTTTTTTTGATTTATTGTAGAGAGGAGGTCTCGCTGCCCAGGCGGGTCTCGAACCCGCGGGCTCAGGCAATCCACTCACCTCAGCCTCCCAAAGGTGCGGGATGACAGGCTGAGCCACCGAGCCCGGCGTGATACGGTTTTTAAAAATAGTTTATTTGCTCGAGATCCAAGTGAGATCCCTGTTGGACTGGTCACCATGTCTGCCAGGTGGCTCTCCTCTTTCTTGCCTGTCGTCTGTGGAGGAGACCAGGGCTTCACATACCCTGGTTTTGCCGGCCTTACCCCATGGGTAGCCAGCAGGGTCTGGCCTTTCTGCTGTCTACAGGACGAGCTGGACCTCAGAGGCCACTTGGGCTTAGCATCAGCTCCACTTGTGGGCTTTGTCCGAGAGAGGCTGTTGGGGTATTGTGTGTGAGCTGCCGCTGTGGGCTGTTCTGTCTGAGCTGGTGTGGGTCGACAGCAGCTGCGATGCTTGTGGTGCCTGTGGGTTCCCTGAGGCTTTCGAGGCCTGTCACTCTGTCCTGACTGTTTTGAACTGCTGGAGATGTCTGAGAAGTCTGTCCTCATCCTCGGCTCGCTCACACCGAGGTGCAGGGTCCGGGACAAGGCGTTTCCTTTGCTCACCGACGTTCAAAACAATGGGGTCTCTTCGCCCTGGTACTTGGAGCCGTCTTCTCCCGATCTACCAGCAACTCGATCACCCTTTTACGAAACGGTAGAAGTCACTTCACATGGAACAGTACAGCGTTGGAACCAGTTACTTTATTGCAGTGATATTTGGCTTATAACGGAACTTTGGACATTGAGGAATTTGCTTATGACCAAAAAAATCCAAATTTGGTAGCTTATGTTTTTCTAGCATATGAAACAGTCACTGACGTGCATGGCAGGTTCATGGATACATGTTGTGTAATAGTAATTTGTCTGACGTCTTTTACCTGGTGTTTTTCAGCTTGAGCAGACAGTGCAGTCTTGTTTTCCTCTCACATTAATAATGTGTAATTTATTGTCCAGTCTGTTGTTCAGAAACTATGTGGAAGGATATTATCTTTTTTTGGGGGGGGGTTGGAATCTCACTGTCGCCCAGACTGGAGTGCAGTGGCACGCTCCTGGCCACCGCACTCCACAGCCTCGACCTGCTGGGCTCCGGCCATCCTTCCACCTCAGCCTTCCAAGTAGCTGGAACTACAGGCATGTGCTACCACGCCTGGCTAATTTTTTGATTTATTGTAGAGACGAGGTCTTGCCAAGTTGCCCAGGCAGGTCTCGAACCTGCGGGGATTATAAGCTGAGAAGATATTCTCTTTCTACATAATGCCAGCTGATTTTTTAAATGTGTATGTTAGTGTATATTCTATCTCTCTATTTGCTTTTTTGTGCAATTTTAAGGGAAAACTTCAAGGAAACATACATTTTTAAAAAATTTACACTGACCTGTTTGTCCTATATGCACACCAGCACACCAGCAATCTCTCTCTTTTTTTCTTTTGAGTCAGAGTCTCACTTTGTTGCCCATGCTGGTGTGCAGTGGCACATTCACAGCCACTGCAGCCTCAACCTGCTGGGCTCAGGCGATCCTTCCACCTCAGCCTTCCAAGTAGCTGGAACCACGGGCATGTACTGCCACGCCCGGCTACATTTTTTGATTTATCGTAGAGACGAGGTCTCACCCTGTTGCTCAGCCGGTCTTAAACCCGTGGGCTCAGGCAATCTTCTCACCTCGACCTCCCAAAGTACTGGGATTATAGGCGTGAGCCACTGGGCCTGGCACCAGCAATCTCTTTTTATCCCCTGAGAGGGGAATATCCGAGTGATAGGCTAGATTTACGATGTCCCCTCAAAGGGGACATGCAAGTGCACAGGGCTAACAGGGTTCTCTAATAAAGGCCAGTCAGGGTTTTTAGCATCATGATGGGTGGGTTTAAATATATGGGGTGCGTTTCAAGTGCTGATTTCTCTTTCTTCGCTGGCGAGTTTCATGGGGTGCTGGACCGCAACTCAGGATGCCCTGTGGGTGCCATGGCCTGGCCACAGCACCCCCAGCTGCTAGTCTTGGACTAAATGCTGGGTGTGTCTGCGGTTCCATTGTTCTTAATCTTCAGAGCATGTCGCCAGAAACGTGCATTGAGCTTTTTTGTGCTGAAGTCCCGGGTGGGTTCTCTGGGGGTTGTTGATTTAATTTGATTTTTGATCCTCAGCGTTTGCTTTTTTGTAATTTAATTTTGTATCACAATTATGTAACATGTTTAATGGTTATTAAGTCAAATCTTTAAACCAGAGTACATGCAGGGCAGTCAGGCTCCTTCCTTAGATGCTACTTTGTTCCTGCTTTCCCTGCCCCGTAGGGATGCATGATTTTTTGGAGCCAGTACCCGGAGACCTGCACTGGCAGCTCCCTCACCCCGTCCTCCTGGGAGGGGAGGCCCAGCGTGGAGAGAGACCCAGACTTTCAATGTCCTCTTTTTAGGAAGGCGGAGGAAAGGTCTGGGAAGAAAGAAAGCGCAGTCCAGAGCATCTGCCAAGAGCAGGATCGCAGCAAGGCCCAAGAAGCGCCAGCGCCGCACGAGGACGAGGACAGGCGGGAAGGTGAAGGTGAGGCTCTGGTGGCAGAGCTCCAGCTTCCTGCCATCTCGGCACCGTCGTGTCGGCACGTGGTGGGCTAGTGTCTCAGTGGCCTTTCGGTGTTTGCTTAGCCACTGGGGAAAAGGAACATTTCTGCAGTGTGGACTGCCGGTGGGGTTGAGATCAGCTGTTTCCAGAGCCCTTGGAGCTGGTGTCCATGGCAGCTGTGGGAGCACAGCCGCCTTCCTGTGGCTGACGTCTGGTTAGGCTACCAGCTGTGAGCCAGGCCAGGACAAGCCCTCCAGAACGAGAGCTCCCGGGAGCAGAATTTGTTTCAAGCTTCCTCAAGCTTCCTCGGCCCCACCTGAGGTAGCCCAGTGGGTATCTGACTGGAGTCTGTCCACCTCTTCAGACCCGCCCTTGCTGGGCCTGGAGGCGCAGCCCTCCTTCACGTATGTTGTGACCTGGCCTGTCCTGGGCCTTTTCTCAAGTACTTTATCCTCATCTAGATCCTAGGCTGGATGTTGATACTTAATCGACACATAGTAATTCTGCATATTTATTGGGTACTGTGTGATGTTTTGATGGGTATATACATTGTGAAATAATCTAATAATCAAACCAGGGTATTTAGCATGTCCATCACCTCATACATTTATGGACTGCACTTTGTGTGTGTGTGTATGTGTGTGTGTGTGTTGAAGTCTCACTCCATCACCCAGACTGGAGTGCAGTGGCACACTCCCAGCTACCGCAGCCTCCACCTGTGGGCTCCGGCGATCCTTCTGCCTCAGCCTTTCAAGTAACCAGAACTACAGGCACGTGCTGCCATGCCTGGCTAATTTTTTGATTTATTGTAGAGACGAGGACTTGCCAAGTTGCCCAGGCTGGCCTCGAACCCGCAGGCTCAGGCAGTCCTCTCGCGTTGGCCTCCCAAAGTGCTGGGATTATAGGCTTGAGCCACCGTGCCCGGCCTATGGACAGCATTTTTAAAACACGTTGTTTGAGCCTGGCTCGGTGGCTCAGCCTGTAATCCCGCGCCTTGGGAGTCTGAGGTGAGTGGATTGCCTGAGCCCGTGGGTTCAAGACCCGCCTGGGCAACTTGGCGAGACCTCATCTCTACGATAAATCAAAAAAATCAGCCGGGCGTAGTAGTGCATGCCTGTAATTCTGGCTACTCGGAAGGCTGAGGCGGAAGGATCGCTGGAGCCCAGCAGGTTGAGGCTGCGGTGGCCGGGAGCAGCCACTGCATTCCAGTCTGGGCAACAGAGTGAGACTCCAACTCAAAAAAAAAAAAACCACGTTATTTGTTTGTCTGAGTCAGGGTCTCAGGCTGGAGCACAGTGGCACCATCATGGCTCACTGCAGCCTTGATCTCCTGGGCTCAGGAGATCCTCCTGCCTCAGTTTCTCGAGTACCTGTGACTACAAGCATGTGCCACCACACCTGGCTGATTTTTTTGTATTTTTGATAGAGATGGGGTCTTGCTATATTTCCTAGGCTGGTCTCAAGCTCCTGGGCTCAACTAATCCTCCTGCCTCAGCCTCCCAAAGTGCTGGAATTACATGCATGAGCCATCACACCCAGTCTAAAACACTTTAATATAGAAAATATAAAGAGCTTAAAAAAAAAAGAAAATATAAAGAGCTGAAGTACTGTGTCTTCATGTGAATTTATATTCAAGATCATTATCCATTTCCTAATAAATATGACAAAGGACCCAAAAAAACCCATAATTGTCTTTTGGAGGGTGGGCCCCTTGTAGTACATTCGGAATTTATTCCTCTGGATCACTCAGCCAGCCAGAGTTTTTATGTGGAAGTTTTGAGAAGGTTTGCTTCATGATTTGCAGAAGAAATGCCCCGAGTTGTGGCAAACGGACAACTGGTTCTTCCACCACACTGAGTGTTTTGCAGCTTTGACCAGAAACAAACAGTATGACCCCTATGCCCCACCCTCCCTCCTCTCCCAGTCTCTCCCGGAGCTAGTTTTGTTTGTTTGTTTTCCCCATGAAAACATTTGCCAAGCTAGGCTCGGTGCCTCAGCCTGTAATTCCGCGCCTTTGGGAGGCTGAGGTGAGTGGATTGCCTGAGCCCGCGGGTTCGAGACCCGCCTGGCAACTTGGTGAGACCTCATGTCTACAATAAACCAAAAATTAGCCAGGCTTGGTAGCACACGCCTGTAGCTCCAGCTACTTGGAAGGCTGAGGTGGAAGGATTGCCGGAGCCCAGCAGGTCGAGGGTGCGGTGGCCGGGAGCAGCCACTGCACTCCAGCCTGGGTGACAGAGTGAGACTCCAACTCAAAAAAAAGAAAACATTGCCAATGTGGAGGAGGTGAAACAACAGCAGAAGCACTAAAAAGTATCAGCATTGACGAGTTCAACAACTGTTCAACAACTGTTTTGAGCGGTGGGAAAAAATTTCTCAGTAGGTGAATTGCATCTAACGGAGAGAACTTAGATGGTGACTGAAGTTTAAACATGTAAGAATAAATGCACACTTTTTAAATAAATAAATTCTGGGTTTTTTGAGTAACCCTCCCTTCCCCCGTATAAATTTACATAGTGTATATTTATTTAAAGACATATTTCCTTTTGGTTTTGGTTTTTTTTTTTTGAGTGGAGTCTGACTCTGTCACCCAGGCTGGAGTGCAGTGGCACAATCACTGCCACCACAGCCTTGACCTGCTGGGGTCTGGCCATCCTTCTGCCTCAACCCTTCCTAGTAGCTGGAACTACAGGCATGCGCCACCACCCCAGCTAATTTTTTTGATACATTGTAGAGACGCGGTCTCATCAAGTTGCCCAGGCTGGTCTTGAATCCCTGAGCTCAGGCAGTCCTCTCGCCTCGCCTCCCAAAGTGCTGGGATGACAGACTCGAGCCACTGCACCTGGCCCAGTGTTTGAGCATGTGATCTGGTTATTCATTCAGACAAATTGTCTAATACGTGTAGAAGCTAAAGCTGTGACCAGATGTGTGTTCGTGGGGTCAACACCCGTCGTTCCCGGTTCTCTGGCCCCTGGGGCGCGTTTTCCTTGACCTGGCGCCCCTTGTGCCTCCAGCCTGGCTGTGTGTTGGGGCCTCCTTTTTTATCCCTGTGCCCGAGTGTTTTAGAATGCTCCTTTTTTATCCCTGTGCCCGAGTGTTTTAGAATGCTCGTGGGCTCCATCCTGAGCTTACTTTCTGCGTCTGACCGAACACACTGTTTCCTTTATTTCTGAGTGTTCTGGGAGGACTGCTCATGTGCCAGGTGGGAGGTTGTATGCCCTGGGAGGGGTCAGCACCTGCCTTCAGGCCATGCAGACACACAGTCCTGATGGGATGGGAGGCTGCTCTGTCTCCTCTGCCTGGAGTCAGAAGGAAATAGCTCATAGCCCTTTTATTTGTTGTAGTAATTTAGGAATAATTACAATGTTTAAAATCTCTAGCTACTTCTCAAGTGGCTTTTAACATGCAGCTGTCAAGGTTATCAGTTGAATTTTTTGTTTTCTTTTTTGTGGGTTTTCGTTTAATACAAAGTAATATGATGATAATGACACTTAAATGCTACTGGATAACCTGCAGTGAGTTTTGTGGCTTACTGGTGTTCTTGCTAATTTTTTTTTTTGAGTCGAGGTCTTGAGTGAGCGTCACTTCCTTGAGTGAGTCAGGGTCCCACTCTGTCACCTGGGTTGGAGTGCAGTGGCAAGATCACAGCTCACTGTAGCCTGAAACTCCTCGACTCAGGCGATCCTTTTGCCTCGGCCTCCCGAGTAGCTGGGACTACAGGCATGTGCCACCAAGCCTGGTAGAGACACAGTCTTGCTATGTTGCCCATGCAGATCTTGAACTCTTGGCCTCAAACGGTCCTCCTGCCTCGGCCTCCCAAAGTGCTGGAATCACAGGCATGAGCTACCGTGTCTAGCACTAATTCTTTATGGCAAAGTAAAACCTCTAAAGTTTGTGGTTAGTGTATTATGCAAAGCCCTTTGGCTTTCATTTAGTATTCACACAACCTGGTTTCCATTTTATGTTGCTGATTAATACAACACATGGCATTTCTGGAACCTTTAGATTTCATTCCTGTTTCTCAGTTTTTCTTTCTCTTTGTTGCTTGGGCTCAGAGTGAATTCACTGCTCGTTCTCGAATTGCTCGGACCCTGGGCCTCTGCAGGCCGGTCCATGGAACTTGCATCCCGTCAATATACAAGCCAGCAGACCCCTCGCTGGGGCTGCTGCGAGCGGACATCGGAGCTGCCTCTCTGTCTCTGTTTGGAGACCCCTACGAGCTGGACCCCTTCGACAGGTGACTGCCCGCATGCCAGTCCTGGGTGCTGGCTTGTCTCTCCCTGGGGTCTGTGGGTGCAGGCCCTGTGGTCCATGCAGAAGTCTCAGATTTCGTGGTTGCAAAACGAGGGTGCTACTCCCCGCCCCAGGTCCTGCCCAGGTGCGGTCTTGCAGCATGTGGAGCTTAGAGAGAGGCCAGATGCAGGGCCCAAGCCCCGAGCTGGTGCCACCACACGGCAGCGCTTAGCCCACCCTCTGGGGCATTGTCTCTGGGGCCGGGGGTCACCCATCCCCTCTGGCCTGTGTCCTCTCCTCCAGCAGTGAAGAATTTTCTGCAGACCCACCTTCCCCCCTGAGTGCCAAGAGGCGGGCTCTGTCCCGGTCAGCCCTGCAGTCTCACCAGCCGGTGGCCAGGCCTGTTTCCTTGGAGCTCTCCAGGTGCGTGAGAACAGGGGCTTGCGGGAGGGTGGGGGCAGGAGGCAGTGGTCCTGAGTGGCATGGACCTCAGCACCTCCCCTCGTCTAAAGAGTCACATGCTGTAGACTTTGAGAGCCGCAGTCTGCTGTGCGTCAGAGGGCGTGGGAGACCCGCCGGCTGCAGCCCACTGGTGACAGTGCAAGGTGGCATAGCCACAGCTCTTTGAAGCCGCTTCTGTCCCCCAGCCTTAGAGCCCAGTGGCAAAGGGCAGGGAGCAGTGGCCCTGGTGAATCAGGTTGTCATCATGGCCACGGTCACCCCTTGGCTACTTGTTTTGTTTGAGCCCTTAAGAAAAAGAAGTTGCCAAGCCAGCAAAATGGGTAGGATGCCGCCTGCCAGCTCCTCAGGAGTTGTGACTGGCAGAAGTGTCAGAGGTGACTCCCAAAACGCCTGGTCTCCCTGGAGTCACAGCTGCTGGGTGGGCTCCCTCTTTGCTTCCTTCTCAGAGCAGGGCCGGGGTCAAGGGAGGCACAGGCTGGCCCGTTCCCCCTCTGCTGGGCACCTGCTGCAGCTCGGTCCAGCGTGGGCTCACAGACCGTGACAGCAGGGCCCCTTGGATCTGTGCCTGCAGCAGGCGTGTCCCCGCTGTGGCACCAGAGCCGCATGTGGAAGAGGCCCCCGTCCCCGACCTGCTGGGCAGCATCCTGTCGGGCCAGAGCCTCCTGATGCTGAGTGGCACGGACGTCGTCATCCACCGCGACGGCTCCCTCAGCGCCAAGCGGGCAGGTGAGTGCGGCCTCCCCGCTGGCGGCGCCCCTCCCTCACGCAGCTCTGAGTGGGGGCAGAGAGCACCGAGGGGCGGCCGAACCTTGCGCCCAGAGGATGTGACTGGAGGGTGACTATCTTGGTCGTTTCCTCCGTTGAGTCCCTCCCTTCTCGGGCAGTTTCCAGGCCAGCCCAGAATTCTCACCAAGCGTCTCCAGCAGGCCCCAAGAATCTTGGCCAGAAGGGTGCGCTGGCCGTGCCAAGAGTCCATGCTGGCCGGCATGTCTCCTTCCCCTTGCTAAGCATCTCTGACTGGCTTGGGCACGTTCTTATCCACAAGTGGCATTACTGCTAGAGCCATCGCAGGGCAGGGAGGCAGCCCAGGGCCCATGCTTGGGGGGTGGAAATGGCACGCAAACGTCGGGCCTGGCAGGCAAGCAGGCGCTAAGGACAAGTCAGTCCTGAGGGGCCGGCAGGTCGCTCGAGCGCTTAAAGGCGGTGGGAAGTGACGGCCCTTTGGCTTTTGTTTTCCAGCTCCAGTTTCTTTTCAGCAAAACCCAGTCGGCCTGTCCAAGGACTCTCTGCAGCCTGGAGGCCCGCCTGCCGGGAGCCCTGCTAGTGGCCCTTCGGGATGCCGGCCACCAAACTTGAGGTTAAGCTGCCAGGGCAGGCTGGCCCCATCCTGCATCCCCCCCCACACACCTGGGGCACCGGTGAGGCTGCTCTCAACATCAGCCCCTGGGTCTGGTCAGGCTCAGAGAGTGTCGGACAGGAGCGGGCCTGGCTTCAGGCAGAGTGGCAGCGCCTGGTTCCATGGACCCAGCAAGCACACTTTACCCCTGGGTTCTGCCTTGTCCAAGAGCGTGAGCAGTGGTTCCATCTCTCCGTCTAAAAGTGCAGTCTTAGGACATGCCCTGAAGCCAGCCCCCAAGAGAGCTGACATCTCCGAGCTACCCAGGATACCAAAGATCAGAAGGAATGACAGCAGCAGTGGGCAGGACACGGCCCCGGTGCACGGGCGGAGCATCGAGATCCCCAGCGCCTGCATCAGCCGACTGACAGGCAGGGAGGGTGCCGGGCAGCCAGGGAGAGGCGTGCGGGCAGAGAGTGAGCCTGGTAGCAGGGCCCCCCGGGAACCCGGCACACACACTAGTGGCTCCCGGCCCCCAGCCCCCAGCTCCCACGGCAGCCTGGCCCCGCTGGGACCCTCGAGAGGGAAGGCTGTGGGGTCGACCTTCGAGAGCTTCCGGATCAATATTCCCGGCAACACAGCACATTCCAGCAGACTCTCCAGCCCTGGCTTCTGTAACACGTTCCGGCCTGTGGACCACAAGGTGCAGAGGAAAGAGAACCCTTCGCCCCTCTTCTCCATCAAGAAGACAAAGCAGCTCAAAAGTGAGATCTACGACCCGTTTGACCCCACTGGCTCTGACTCCAGTCCCCCCAGCAGCAGCCCCGAAAGCCTGGGCTCTGGCCTCCTGCCGTCCGAGATCACGCGCACCATCTCCATCAACAGCCCAAAGGCCCCGCCATTTCAGGCCGTGCGTTGCGTCACCTCCTACACGGTGGAGAGTGTCTCTGGGACGGAGCCTGAGCCCCCTCACGGCCCTTCCTGCAGTGCGCTCAAGCTCCGGGCTGAGGCGACTACCGGTGGTGCCTCTGACACAGAGCGAGAGGTGCTGGGCGAGGAGGAGCCCACAGAGAGCCAGGCCACTGGCACCCGGGGACACAGGCCATCCCCACCAGAGCCCTGGGACGATGAGGATGGCACAGCATGCGGCACCTTCTTTGGCTCTGAGGAGCGGACGGTGACCTGCGTGACTGTCTTAGAGCCAGAGGCCCCGCCCAGCCCGGACATGCCACAGGCCACCGCCCACAGGGTCGTGGAGCTGCAGTCTTCCCGGTCCCGCTCCACCTCCAGCTCCCGCAGCAGGAAGAAGGTGGAGCGGAAGCGGGAGGCCAGGGCACAACGGCGGGCACGCTCCAGGACGCGCTCTGGCTCTCGGGACAGGAGCTCGCGGTCAGCGTCACCGTCCTCGGTGGGCGAGCACCCCTCCAAGAGGCAGCGGGGCAAGACCAAGCGCCGGCGCTCTTCCAGCGACCGCTCCAGCAGCCGCGAGAGGGCCAGGAGGAGGAAGGCCAAGGACAGGCGCAGGGCGCGCGGGCGAGAGTCCCGGGGCCGCGGGTGGAGGACATCCCGCTCCCGCTCGGGAAGCCCCGGCAGCTCCTCCTACGAGCACTGTGAGAGCAGAAAGCAGCAGCAGCGTCGGTCAGGGTCCAGACCTCAGGGCAGGGAATGCTCCCCCCCCAGCAGCCTCGAGAGGGCCCGGAGGCACAAGCACCCACGGGAGAGGAGCCACGAGCGGTTGGAGAAGAAGGAGAGCACCGCCCGGTCCCGGGAGAGGAGGCGGCGGAGGTCCTGGTCAGCAAGCCCAGAGCACAGGGTGCGGGAGTCCCGGCAGCCACGTTCCCGAGAGCAGCGGCCCCGGACCCGCTCCCCAGAGAGGAAGGAGGCGGCGAGGGACGCCTCCCCGGCACCCGCTCCGCAGGGGCAGCCTAGGCAGGACGAAACCCTGGCCAGACCCACGGCCTTGGGCGTGGTTGTCTCCCGGGTGGGGGCTGTGGCCCACGAGCAGCCCCCAGCAGTGCCTTCCACCCAGGAGGGGCCAGCCGGGTGTGCACCTGACGACCTGGATTACGGCGACGCGGTGGAGGCAGGGCACGTCTTTGAGGACTTTTTGAGTGACACTGTCTTCATCCAGCTGGATGATATGAGCTCACCACCGTCTCCTGAAAGTACAGACTCCTCCCCAGAGCGAGGCTTCCCGCCCAACCCCACGCTGCCCCCAACTAGCCTGGCCGCTCTCCAGAGGGAGGTGTCGCTGATCCATGGGGAGGATGCTTCGCAGCCCCCACCCCAGGCTGAGGGCCCCCAGGAGCTGTGCCCTCTTGGACAGGATGTGGTTGCGGCGCCCAGCACCCCAGGTGTGGCATCTGCCGGGAAGGCTGACGGCCCCTCCGTGAGTGGGAGGGTCCAGGGGGCAGCCAGGCCTGAGGAGGTGGTCTCGCAGACGCCCCTGCTGCGGTCCCGTGCCCTGGTGAAGAGAGTCACCTGGAACCTGCAGGACCCGGGGGGCGATGCCCTGGCTGAGGACAGAGCCCCACGTGAGTAGAGGCTCAGCCCCTGGGTGGGCCGGGAGAGTGGGTAGCAGCCGGCTACCAGCTGATCTGCAGCCAGCCTGGAGGCTTTGCTGCTGGCGTGCTTCTCGGAGCTTTCCAGCGGAAGCAGCATCTTGGGCGTGGAGGGCGACTGCAGGCACCCACCTCCCTGTCTGTCGGCCCTCAGGGATGCCGCCTCACGGGCCGCAGAAGCCCCGGGAAGGGGCCTGGGATGTGGAGGATGCAGCCCCTGCAAGACTCGGGCAGGTGCCACTCTCCGAGCTGCCCCCTCCCAGTCACCTGCGTCCAGAGCCTGGCTTCCCCGTCGCAGACCCCTCTCAGGTGGGTGCCTGGGCTGGAGGGCCTTGGGCTGCGGCCTCAACCCGTGTCACATGCCGGTGTCGGGCTGGGCCGAGGCCTCATGGCTGCTGGACTTAAGATTGCCGGCCCTGCGCTCAGTGGAGCTTTCTTACCAGGTTTACAGCCCAAACATGCCTCTGGTCCCCGCTCAGCCAGCAAGCGTCCCGCCCTGTGTGCCGGCTAGCCAGCCCCCAGTCCAGTCCGTCCTGCAGGGCAGTCTTCCCCTGGCGGGCTGCGGGGCAGCAGAGAGCCCGGCCCCCGTGCCTGCTGTCCTGACTCCAGCCTCAGAGCCAGCTGGCCAAGCCGCCGCAGCCAGCGACGCCGAGGAGAGGACCCCCACGTCGCGGCCGGCTGCCGAGAAGACCAAGAAGGAGGAGGTGAGTCCTGCCCCTTCCCTGCGCCAAGCCCCCATCCCCTTTCGAATGTGTTCTTGGGGACAGAGTTAAGCGTGGAAGCCAGCCTTGGCTTTGCCTTTGGCGTCTCTGGGTCTGGAAAGGTGTCCCGGAGCCACGGGGCCTCTCTGGCTTCTGCCCTGCCTGCCGGCAGCGTCACCCACACCTTCCCACCCAGTACATGAAGAAGCTGCACATGCAGGAGCGGGCCGTGGAGGAGGTGAAACTGGCCATCAAGCCCTTCTACCAGAAGAGGGAGGTGACCAAGGAGGAGTACAAGGACATCCTGCGCAAAGCTGTGCAGAAGGTGGGCGGCAGGCAAGCGGGAGGCGCATGCGTGTTTGGGAAGCCCTGGGGTCACGCGCAGCGCTGCTGTGGGGTCAGCGTCCATACGTGTGGCAGGCAGGTTGGGTGCACCCTCCCGCTCCACACAGACTTGGGGGCGCCCGTGAGTGCGGCTCGGGGCCCTTGGGTCAGGCATATCCGCCTGCGGCTGCCCCACACAGCCGAGGAAGAGAGCATGTCCATGTGCGTGGTGCAGGCGTGTGTGCCCCTTGCTTGCGAAGCAGGCACTCTGCAGTCACCCAGCCCCAGCCCCGCCCACAGGAGAACACAAGCACCTGGGCGGTGAGGTGTCGGAGGTGGCAGATCTCACACCCGCTGCCCCAGTTCAAGCCCGTGCTTCCTCTCGCCCCGCACCACCTGTGGCCCGCTGAGGGCCACAGCCTGCCAGATGAGGGCCTGCTGGGGGAGGGGGAGGGGCCGGAAGCCCCAGCATGGAGGCCCGGCTCTTGGCGAGCATCTGGCTGAGAAGGACCCAGAGTGACTGTCCCTCTCCCCCCAGATCTGCCACAGCAAGAGTGGCGAGATCAACCCTGTGAAGGTGGCTAACTTGGTGAAGGCCTACGTGGACAAGTACAGGCACATGCGCCGTCACAAGAAGGCCGAGGCTGGGGAGGAGCTGCCCACCCAGGGTGCCGAGGGCTGAGGCAGCACCGCGGGGTGGGGTGGCGGCAGGGCCCTGGGGATGCCCACACCCTGCCCAGGGGCCTGTGGCGATGCCTGGTGCGTGCGCCTCTTGCCCACAGCTGAAAACTGGACATTGTCACATGTATATTATAGATACACACTGTTTCCATTGTGTTCTAATTTATCAAAAAAGGATTATCTTTAGAAACTTCTCCGGCGACTTAATGCTCAGAAGGCAAAGCCTGGCTGGTGACCAGAAGGGGCGTCGGACCTGAGGGGTGGGTTGGTGGGGTCCAGGGCTGTGGCTCCCTGACGGCTCTCCAGATGGCTGGCCACCAGGAACAGCTTGTGCTTTTCCACTAGGAATTCCATTTCTTGTAGTCTTTAAACTTTTATCTGTACAGAGGAGGTTTCACTGCGTTGCCTAGGCTGGTCTTGAACTTCTGCCCTCAAGCGACTCCCCACTGGGCCTCCCCAAGTGTGGGGATGCAGACCTGAGCCACGATGCCTGGCCAGGAGTCTGTTTTCTCTCACCCAGCGGCTATGTGGTGCTTTTCACGTCATTGCTCCAGTTGGAGCTCAGCTCAGCTGCCTCCCACCAGGCAGGGCGCGGTGCTGTCGCACCCTGAAGGAGGTGGGGCCC